TTTTGGGTGTCTCAGCTGGGCGCCAGGGCTCTTAGCAAGATCTCTCCATTTTGGCAGGGCCAGAGTGCCATTATGCCAGTACTCTCTTCCTGGACAGAGAATTCTGTGTTTAGAAGAGTTATTATTACTCCTGTGGTTTTTAAACGGGGGACTAATTTGTATTAAATGCAGGGCATGCTAACAGGGATATTAGAGGGCTTGGTTAATGCCCTCTGAATGTTTTTCTGTGGATTATGGACAGATGGTTGCAGCATTGAGAGCTTTAAACAACATCAGCTAACCAGGGAAAAGCACTGGGTATGATGATTGACTCTCCAGTGCCTGCATCGTCTGGAACTTTAGGACATTTGGTGGGGGAATGGTGATTAGTGCAGACAGGCACTGATGGAATGCAGTCTTGCCTATTATGTCCAGTGATGATGTCTAAAATAGAACATCAGTTTCTGCTGTGAGAGTAAATTACAGTAATTATCCCCACAGGCACTCTTCCCTAATAAGTTGCTTAGGCTCCCATCCTGCTAATGTTTCTTGAGGGTATCCACATGGTCCTTATCTACATATGGCTGCCCACGTGGCCCATACCTCTATGGAAAGTCACTTATTTTGGGATAAAGCCACCAAGGGCACTTGCTAAGGTCAGAACACCAGGTAACCAGCTTAAACCTCTCTCCCAGGCTGCAGCAGTGTGACTTACATATCTTAACATGAGTGCATACACACTGATGTCTAAGCCCCTACCAAATATCTCAGTCACTCCTTTTGTATAGATTCTCTTCTATTTCTCAGTCATCTTGGCTGGTACAGTAAGTGTGGAGGTCTCTTTACTGCCCAGGATCTGAACAAATTGACAAATAAGACAAAGGAATAGTGACAAAGGAAAAATACCAACTTTATTACTCAGAGAGGCTAGATTGGAGAATGTTGCTTAGTAATAAAGTTAAATGGGCTTGTTAACTCAGTGCTGGAGTTTGGCCAGCAGACCCACTCTTCATTGGCTAGGCCAGCAGAGTGGCTTGCAGATGTAGAAGTGGATGCTTGCTCCCTTTGGGCAGTTTGTTTCCAAGGGGAAGAAGGATGGAGATGGGCTGAAAATGTCCATTTTATTAAACACAAACTATTCACTCGCGAGACTAGGAATTAGACTAATTGAACTTCATCCAGAAGAAGGAAGCAGTAGTAGAGAAGAAGCATTTCCTTCCATTCTGTCTGTATTTTCTTGATTTATCCATTTTAGACCATCTGTGCTAATTCCTTGCTATGGAACATGAGGGTTTATTTAGCTCAGTTATCCTTTCCTGTCTCCTATCCTCTCATCCTTCTAACATAATTCTGTTATAATTTTGGTTACATAAATATTCAGTATTTACATTTTCAATTATGTACCTGCCTTTTTTTCTATAGAATTTTGTTTTTATTGGAATTAATAAATGTCTTTTTGTCCTATTTAGTTTGCTTAGTTTTCATAGGCTTAACACTGTTGGAGCCCAAAGCTTTTTCCCACTTGCATTAGTGTGTAATATGTAGATACTTAGTCACATTTATCTTATTAAAGCAGATTTGCCTGGCATAGTCTGAAGGCTTCAGTCTGGGCTTCTTGTTTACAAGTCTCTTGCATTATTGGTCATCTTAGTATCTTACCTTCACCATAATTCTTAAGGTTTTCCTTATCTTCCTCTTGTATTAGATGTCCTATTACCCAGATATCCTGTCTTTTTTCTCTTGGTGTATTCTTATGTTTTCTAGAGCACAGATTCTAATAGCTTTCTGATAAAGAATATCTGGGAGCTAAATCTTTTGAGAATTTGCATGTCTGAAAATGTCTCTATTCAACCCTCACAATTAATTCATAGTCTGAATCCTGAGTATAGAGTTCTGGTTTGAAATAATTTCCCTTCAGAATTTGATGGCATTGCTCTATTGCTTTCTTTCAGTGTTGTCATTAAGAAGTTTGATGCCTTTTTTTATCCTTAATCCTTTGTATAAAATCTATTTCTCTTTAGAAGTCTGTAGAATCTTTTTTTATACCCATAATTCTGAAATTTTATGGTGTTTTGCCTTGCCTTGGGTCTATTTTTGTCATTTGTGTTGGACACATGAGTGAGTCCTTTCAGTCTGGAAGTCATCCTGAAACATTTGATAGAATTATGTCTTTGAATTCCTCCATTTTTGCTGTATAAACGTTCACATCTTCCCCACATTTTCGGCAGTGTGCTTCTGACTTCAGCTGTTGTACCTTAGTCCAAAGACCCTATATTTTACTCCCCACAGTACACTCCTGTCTTTTGCTATTGTGGGAGAAGGGGCAAGGTCAGGCTGTGCAGTAATGGGGAGGTGATCTGAGTGGTTAACTACTTCTTAAGTAGACTTTGAAGAATCCAGCTGTTTTTAGCACCAACCTCGCCCTCACTGCCAGACATATGTGAACTGATGGTAGTTCTGTAGTGATTATCAAGTTGCTTCTCTACTTTCTCCACTATTGGCTTTGGATTCAGCTTTCTCAGGTCTAAGTAACATGCCACTGAACATTTGTTCTAGCAATATATGTGCCTCGTTAGTACATTATAAGATCTGGTAGTTGATCTAATGAACGTGATGAATACTGATGAACAAAAATGATATTTCACGGTATCTGCAACAGCAAAAATATTATATGAAATTATCTTTGATTTCTATTGTTTACAATCACACATACTGCTAAACTACTGTGACTTTGTTTATGTTAATAAGTTAAGGAATGGCTAAAGTTCATTTAGAGAATAGTATGAAAATAAAAATGTACTCTTTTTTTCTCATCCACCTTCTGGAATCCCTGAATTCTACCTGTGAAGTCAATTTAGAACTCCTGAATTAACTAGAACGTGGTGGTATATGAGACCATAATCATGATTTCCTATATTTGTCTATTTTTCAGAGGCCTCTTTACGATGCATAATCTTGATCAGTCTTTCTGTTCATTCAACAAATATTTGCTAAATGTCAACTAAGTGCAAGACGCGGGCACCAGGGATACATTAGTTAACAGACAAACCTCTGTCTTCATGGAATTTACGTTTCTAGTGGAATATATAATTGGTTATAGTGTAGCCTGGATTAAAATAATATAGTTTGTGTATATCACCACCTCTGGAAAAATAACTGAAATCACATATCTTTCTGATAATATCATTACTTTACTTGAAATAGAACTTGAAAGTGTTTTTGTTTATTTCAAAATTAATGTTTATTTTTAAAAAGATGTGAGAACATTGATAGGCAGAAAAGAAAAAAAAAACACTGCTCATTATTGTACTAATCAGAAATAACCACTTGGTGTGTATTTCACTCTCTTTTCTATACAAGTACACATATATGTGTATTTAAATATGCTTAATTTGTTTATAAAAATTGGATTATATTATAAAAACATGTAAATTAAAAAATTTTTATTTGTCAAATGTTTACTTCAATTTTAATGGCTGTATAATGTTCAATTTTATAAAAACACCATAATTTATACCTTTAAGGTTTCTATATTTTACTATTTAAAAAAAAAAATCCCGGGGGCCGGCCTGGTGGCACAGCGGCTAAGTTGGCACGTTTCGCTGCAGCCTGGGGTTGGCCGGTTTGGATCCTGGGTGCAGACATGGCAGCGCTTGGCACACCATGCTGTGGTAGGCATCCCACGTATAAAGCCAGAGGAAGATGGGCACAATGTTAGCTCAGGGCCAGTCTTCCTCAGCAAAACGATGAGGATTGGCAACAGCTCAGGGCTAATCTTGCTAAAAAAAAAACCAACACACCCTTCTGCTAATTTCTTATAGTGAAATCTTACCAAACACCTTTAGTTAGTTATTTCAACAGTTTATTAGGAAAAATTTTAAATATATGGAAAATCTGAAAGAATTCTACAGTGAACACCCGTATACCCACTACCTGGATTGTATAACTAACATTTTAGTGTGCTTACTTTACCACATATCTCTCCAATTATCCACTCCTCTTTAGTTAATATTTTGGTAAATATTTAGAAACTGAGTCATACATTTTTCAGGCACATTTTATAAAATTTTTTCATTTATGCTAAGTAGCCCTCTGAGAAGATTTTTAATACTAGTTTACATTCTTACCAGTGGTATATTAGCATACTTCTAACCCTTGCCAACACTGGGTTTTATTGTTTTTAATGTAACTTTTTAGATAATTTTTGATACGTAAGTTGTTACTAAAGTAAGTTTCTTATTTTATCTCTAAGACGACTCTTATGTAATACTCATAAAACATATGAGTATTCTCATATGTAATACTCATAAAACAGAATTCATTTATAGCTTGCTTGGATCATCTAATCTCCACTATAGATTTTGAAAGGAAATGTGTGTAATTTGTTTCTTGTGATACATGATGTCTTTTAATGGGAACATTGTACCTGTTGAGTAACTATTTAAGGTACAGTTGGGATTTCAATCAGGAAATCACTAATCCTTTTGTTTTCAGTTTATACACTACAGTGTATAAATAAGTACTCTAACTAGAATATTAGCTATAGCATATTTAGACTTTTTTCTCTTTCACAGAATAAATGAGCTGATGGAGAAAGATGATTCATTGGGGCAATCAGAAGCTGAAGTAGAATCTCACGAATTAAACATTCTTTCACTCACTGGACCTTTGTCTCTCTTATTGGACCCTTGTTTTATTCTTTGGACCTGTGTCCCACTCAGTGTAGCACTTTGGTATAAATACTCAAGAGAAATCAAGGTGTGAATCTGAAGGGTTAAGGAAGCTAGGCACCTAGGTGGGCATATAGTGTGAGGTAGTGGAAGCACGGAAGTATTTAGAAGGTGAAAAGGCTCACACAATACTGTTTTAAATTATAGATTGCCTACATTCTGTTTAATTTTAAAAGTATAAACAATTTTTTAACTTGGTATGGCTATTTTCAAAGAATTATGGAAATCCCACTAGAAATGTGTTACCTTTTCTTATTTTCTGAGCATTCAGCTAAATCTCTTTGTTTACAGCTGGGCTCAAAATGCAGAGAACTCAAAGATATTCATTTCGGCCAGTGTTACAAGATCTCAGATGAAGGCATGATCGTCATAGCTAAGGGCTGTCTGAAACTGCAAAGAATATACATGCAGGAAAACAAATTAGTAAGTACCTGTTACCATTCTTGTGTTTTTATTTTGTTTCTGATCTTTGAATTCCTTATAACTTAGCTTATAAATTTTCTTCTGCTTATTTTCTTTTGGTGGTTTAGAGGCAAATACTACTTAAAAGCAAGAATCCTCTCAAAACAATGATTTTATAAATTGATCCTATAACTGTTTAGCTGCTTGTATGTGATGCTTATGTGTTAAAAATTTCTCATTAGCTTGTGCTGATTTTTTTCTAAATTCTGATGGTGAACTAACTCAGGTAAATTGGAAAAAATTAAATTTAGTTGCCAAACGTAAGCATGCGGTGGTTGTTCGTTCTGATTCCCCTAGGGATTATAATAATTCTGGATAGTTGGAATTTTTCAATATTCAAGAAGGTGACACTGGTGAAATAGAGCCTTTCATTTAGTCTGGTGAAAAATGGGGTTCAGTAAATTGAAGCAGATGGATTTTATAATTTAAGCACATACATGTGTAACTCATTCACACTTAATGTATTGTATATAATATATTTAAAGTCATTTAATTTTCTTTTATTGAGATATAATTCACATATCATAAAATTCACTCTTTTAAAGTGTACAATTCAGTGGTTTTTAGTATGTTCAGAAAGTTGTGCAGTCATCATCACTAATTCTAGAACAGCTTCATTATCTCAAAGAGAAACCCTGTGCCCCTTAGTTGTCACTCTCCATTCCCTGCTTCCTCCAGCCCCTGGCAACTGGTAATCTACTTTCTGTCTCTGATTTCATTAAAATGAAATCACTCAGTATATGGTCTTTTGTGTCTGGCTCCTTTCACTTAGCATAGCATTTTCAAGGTTCGTTTATGTTGTAGCATATATCAGAGTGTCATTCCTTTCTATGGATGAGTAATATACCAAATCCATTTAATTTTGATTTGATAGGTACATAGTACAGGTTAACAGAAAAAGTTGTCATCAGGGAGGCCCTAGCAGAGTTCTCAATGTTGAAAAATAGTGTACTTTAAAATGCAGGCAAGGTGGTCCTGCATGTGGAGCATATGTGTAAAAAAGATTTGCTTTTTAATTGTATTTCGAAAATAAAGAGATCTTTTTGTTGGCCCTTGGAGTTAGTTTACAAAATTTGATAAGTACATCTCATACATTAACGTAAGTTTTGAAAGGTCTCTAGAAGCATCAGCACTTCGAGATAATGCTATTTAAAAAAAAGATTCCAGTTAGAAAAATTGAAACACTTTGAATTAAAAGTAAATGCTTTTATTACCACTTATATTATATATTATATTTTCTCTGAAATTATATAGTAAAAATAACTTCACATTCCTCTTTACATTTAATAGAAATTTAATAATCACTCTTGAGGCCATGTGATCTTGTAGAGAGAATAAGGACTTCTGGCTCATAGAGAGTAAATTTTTGAATCCTGGTGTCCACTCACTTGCATTGTGACCTGGTAAAGTTACTTCAGCTCTCTGAACCTCCCTTACCAATGGGATTATTAATACTTACCTTTTTGCAGGTTGTGGCTTTGAGGATTAAGTGACGTAATGTCATTAAATTGTCTACTACAAACTCTGATCCATAGGAGACACTAAAAAACCTAGCAGTTTTTGTGAGATCACAACTGTATTTGTGGTCTGTTGGTTTCTACTTTACACTCAAGATAAATTAAAGCATGGTAATTCCAACTGAAAATTTTTTTATTGCTCGCATAGTGGGAATATTTGTTGAGTGATTAGTATCTGTTTTGTTATTGAGTAAACACAGAGTAAAATCATTTTTCTTGACATATTAAAAATTTTAGTCCAGTGGTTTCCCAAAGGAAGTAACTGTATACGTTTTGAAGGTTCTAGTTATGTTCATGTTAGTTTTCCCTAATGTGTGATCCATTAAAAGATGGTATATTACTTAAATGCTAGGAGAATCAGTTTTGTATGCAATGTTATTCAGTAAACATTGATTTCATTGGAAATTTGAAGTAATTTTGCCAAATCAAAAGGTTCAGTTCAATGAAGTTCTTTCGATTTAAGATTCTTAGAAAGGGGAATTTAGGATAATTTGAACTCTATATTGGAAAGTTGAATTATTGGTAATTAACCTCCCATAGGAACTTTGCATTGTATTTTTAGAATTTATGAAATGAGGAGAAATATTTGAATTACTTGCAAAGCTACAATTTTAAGTAGTTCAGATGTTTTCATTCTTAGAAGTATTATTAGTCCTTTAACAAATATTTAAATAGGGTGAGTAGAAATAATAGCAGTCTGGTTAAAGGCAAATAATATTTATTTATATAAATATATATATATAAAGGCAAATATATATAAAGGCAAATAATTTATATGCATGTGTAATTACAGATAGGAAATATAAGCATCATTAAATAGGACAAATATTTTAAATTAACAACTAACAGACATACTTAGGAGAATACTGTGTCTGAAAGCATGCCAACAGAATTTGACCTGTGCACATATTGATCATTGGCCAAACTGTTTTGTTAATTCTCTTATTAAATTAAATCTTCTCAAAACAATATTAGAGCTTTATTGTGGAGTCTAAAAATAATCATAGTATAGTGTTTTTTAAAGTATAAACTTTGCTCACTTTAAAATATCAAATTGGTTGTTTTTATATATTGGCAGTATTTGACCAAGTATACCTTTTTTTCATATTATTTCTTGGCCTTTAGATGGCAGCATTGTCTTTGTATATTTCAGTGACGTAGCTTTTGTGTCCTTGATGTATCTATAAAGATATAATGCTTGTACAGTTTCTGCAGATATTATGGTTTACTTTTAATTTTTGTCCTTTAGATGGTTTTAATGGGAAAATTTCTTCTTAAAATAATTTGAAATATTAGATGCATCTAGGATGTTACAAGATGAACTTGCTATTTTACTCCAAGTAGCAAGATATTTGAACATTTATTTGTGGCACTGATTAAGATAAACTTTAGAATAAGGGAAGGCTTCCTGTGTTTATCAGAGGGAGAAGTTTTATTCAGATGGAAAGTGAGGACAATGACTTGACATTTTAAGACTCAAATGAGTTACCATGAGGTAAAGAATTGAGGACTTAATGTAAAATCTTCCAGAAAGAGAATGAGTTTCTGTTTTTGTCATTTTTGAGTGAGACAAGTGCCGTGCACTTACTACATGAATGTATTTTGCATTTGCTATAAAATTATTGTATAGACTCTAGAAATAGATCTAAAGGATACAGCTCTAGTGAGGGTCTAGCATATTGTATACAACTGTCTCCCTTCTTCTAGCGATAGCTTTTATTTCACTTTTGTGCAGTACTGGCTACAAAGTTATTTTAAAGTCATATTTAGTTTTTATATATAGTTATTGTTGATATAGAAACTTCATTAAGTATATTCTCTCTGCTTCTGTACTCTCCTTGCTCCAGATTCTACTTCTCTACTTTTTAGATAGAGAAAGTCTTTGGGCAACCTTTTATTCAGCTGTAAATGGTGGGGTGAGATAGATTATCTGTCATTTGTTATCCCCCCTGATGTCTTAAAGTACTAGGATTTTATGATTTATTTAGAAAACAGGTTCTATGTTAAGTCCTAGGGCCAGTATATTTGATATAGATCTGTATGTGTTGTGTTTATTTGGTCTATTTTTTTTTTTTACACCTTCTGCTCTGTAGAGTTGAGTTGTGAGCTAGTATAGATTTCTGAATTACCAAGGAGTAGTAATGTGTTATGAATAGATTTTAGAAAATTTTAGGGAAGTGATAAATTTTTCCTTGTTAAAATTTGATTTCCTGAAAGTTAATTGTGACCTTTTATTTTTTTCAACCTCTTGGTGAATTGCTATTTAACTAATTTTATAATTCTGTGACATCTCCGAGAGTTCTTCGGCTGCTGCTGTAACATTATTTGTATTTTATTGTTTTTATTTTTATTATCCTTTGGATGCTTACATCTAAATTCACCTCTCTAGGCTTCCTTCTTCCAGGATGGAAGCATTTTAAGGTATGAATGAAGCAGATGTCATGTTTGAGGTGAACTGAACTCAGTTTATACCTTGATCCTACTCTTTTTTCTTGTGTGACTTGGGTTAATTATCTTAATTTTTGTGCTTTCATTTCCTTGTTTGCAGGAAATACATAACACTACCTCAAACATGTTCTTATGAGGATCAGACTAAATGAGATTAGGAAGTAAAGTTCCAAATGTGTTTCATGGTTTGAACATATGAAGCCTTCAATAAAAGTTACTTTTCTTCCTCTCCCTACCAGAGTTTACTTTCTGGAGTCTACCAGTTTGAATTGTGCTATATCAGTGCCTAATATCAGCTACTTTGTTCTCATTTAACCCTTTAGCCCTCCACAGTTTAATTGTTTTTTGCTGTTTGCTGTGATTTGAGGCTGTTGCAGTAGCTAAGTGAATAGACTGGTGGCCATGATATCATCAAGTGGGGGAGTATAAGAGAAACATTTGCATCAGAGCTTAAATAGCAGTAGCTAATTCAGCATTCCATGAAGGCTTGCATTTTCTGACTCTGTAACTTTGCAACTTAGAGTTAATATATTAAGGGATTTGCAACCCCCACATGCCTCCCCCCGACCCCGGGCCTGGATTCCCCACTATATTCTTGATATCTAATATTCCTTATGAGGTGAGTTTACTTCTAATCCCAGACATAAATAACTTAGGTTTCTGAGGGATTCTTTCTGAGTGCTCACTTCAGCCTCCAGAAACTCCCAGGTGGGCATTCGCCTTCATTGCCCTTTGCCCTCTTAATGGATGAGGCGTTTACTTAGACGCAGAGTGGTAGTTTCCCATAAACTGTGTTGTATGAATGTGTCATTCTAAAGAAGGTGACCTAAAGATACCGAATTTCATCTTATTATTGTATACTACATTTCAACATTTTTCTGTCTTGTTGATATTTTAAAATATTTAATAATACTTATCTTTTATTGAATATTTATATGGTACCAGACTATGCAGTTTTACGTAATTAATCTTCACAACCACCATAAGAGGTAGCTT